AAACAGAGACAAACAATCTATCATATAAAGAGTTTGAAACAAGTTATAAAGATGCTTATCAAACTCAAGAATACAAGGAGTCAGTGAGAACTTGGATAAAGAGGTAGACAATATAAAAAAGAACCAATTACAACTAAAAATACAATAACTGAAATGAAAAATACACTAGAGGAAATCAACAACAGAGTAGGTGAAGCAGAACATCTTGTTTTTCTTTTTTGGAGTTTTGATCTGTTCTTTCATTTGGGCCAGGTTACTCTGTCTCATTTTGGGAGCCCCCCTGTATTTCTATGTATTAGGTAGAGCTTCTATGACTCTCTGTCTTGGTGGCAGAGCCTAATAGGGTAAGTAAGTATCCTATAGGGTCCAGTGGCACAGCCTCCCCTATCACCCACACTGAGTACTCAAGATGTCCCCTTTGTGTGGGCTGAGTGAGACCTCCTCCTGTAGTTGAGCCTTGATTGCTGTTGGCAGGTCAATGGGAGGGATTTACCCAGGCCAGTCAGCTGCAAGGACTGGCTGTGACTACTGACCATCAACATCCACCCTCTGGGCAGGGTGGTGGTACTCTGATGTGGTATGTAGCTGACCACAGGTACATAGGCTCTGGGGTTTCCCAGGTAGTTCAGGCCAAGATCAGCCCCCACTTGTGTTCTGCCTAGCATCATCCTGCATGAGTTATAAAGCAATCTGAGATGGCTGCTACTTGTGCTGGGCTTAGAGATTCCTAGGTGAAGCCAAGCTGTGAATCTAGGCTAGCTCCTGCTAATGCTGTGCCTGGGGCTCACTGAGGGCAGCTGGTGCTTGTTTGAGAGGATTTACGAAGTTGTGAAGCATGAGATGAGACCAGCTATTCATATAGAAAAGGCAATGTTAACAGCTTGGATGGGACCAAAATTTGGGTGGGGCAGAGCCTCAGGAGATTTCCAGGGCGGGGCAAACAGTATTTGTCAGTTTAATGGAGTCTCTGATATGGTACCCACCAGCTGCCTCTGTAGGTCTGTGTGTGTGGCCAGGGCGGGGGGGGGGGGTGGTGGTGGTCAGAAGAGGGACAATGATCTCTGCCAACCTTTCTGTCTGGGAGAAAGCTGTCACCCAGTTCTTGCCTTGATGCCAGACACTTACTTCAGTTCCTCTCATATGCCACTGATTCCTTTCAAGCTGCTGCCCTGTTTCTGGAACTCGGAGTGAGTCTGAGTAAGTCTGTGTGTGGGTTCTTTAAGAGGAACTGCTTGGGACTCTAGAAGTTTCTTCCACTGACTCAATCCCCACTGGTTTTTGCAGCCAAAAGTTATGGGAACTTATCTTCCTAGCACGGGAACCATGTGATGGGGGGGGGGGGCTTGGTGTGGGGCTGGGATTCCTTGCTCCTACGATATGCCTTCCTGTATTTTTTATCCACCACATATGCACATGGGACCAGCCCATTCCATGTCTCCACCCCTAACTGTTTGGATGGATGTGGCTTCTTTAATTCCACAGATGTCAGACTTCCATTCAACTGGATTTCTGATGATTCTGAGTGAAGGTTGTCTATATTTTAGTTGTAATTTTGATGTGGTTGTGTGAGGAGGCGAGCTGTGTTTACCTACACCTTCATCTTGACTGAAGTCCCAGGATACAAAATTAACAGAAATCTTTTGTAATTTTATATTCTAATATTGAACTATTAGAAAGAGAAGAAAACAATCCCATTTACAATTGCATCAAAGAAAATGAAATATTTAACCTAGGAGGCAAAAGACCTATAGTCTGAAAACTGTAATACAGAGAAATCTGATCAGATTATTGGGGAGGAGTAGGGAGAAACAACAGAAGGTCTTTGTTGAGGGAATGGTAAGCAGTTGAGGACAGGACTGGCTGAGAAGCTGAATGCCTCCAGAGCGCATGGAAATGAAAAGAGGGCTGGCTTTCTGACTCCAGGTCAGGCTCTCTCTGGCTCTTCCTCAAGGATGCCAGGATGATTGTGCTGCTGCTGCCACCTGAATTTCCCAACGGATGGTATTCCGGATGGGAAGGAACTCTAGGCACTGTCTAGGATTGGGATGGCCTGGCAGAGTGTGGCAGATTTATTCTTTGGGTGTTATAGAAAGGATGAGCTCTTAGGCAGAAGCCTGATATTCTTCCAAAAATTGTGTAACTTTTGTTATCTTATGTTGTTTAGTTTGTAAACCAACCCTATAGAAATAAGAGAAATACTAACATGAGGAATGCTAGGAGAACCCAGGTGTTAGAGTTTAGCCTTAATTGATACACTTCAGGGATTAAAGCTGTAACTAAAGCGTTTAGCCTTAATTGATAGGCTTAAGTGACTAATTCTTCTGGAAAGCTGTTATTTCAAAATTGTGAAGCTTTTGAATACAGCCTCCTTTCCTTTATCACAAAAACTTTGCCTCTGGAATTCTGCCTAGAGGGTGGCAGCAGGCAGCAGGACCCCAACTTGCTGTTTGGTAAAAATAATACACTGATAAATGGAAGAATATAACATGCTTGAGGACTGAAAAAAATATCATTAAAATGTCCACATTACCCAAAGCAATCTACAGATTCATTTCAATCCCTATTAAAATTCAATAGCATTTTTCACAAAACTACAATAATCCTAAAATTGTTTTGGAACCACAAAACACCCTGACTAGCCAAAGCAATACCAAGAAAGAAGAACAGAGTTGGAAATATCACACTATGTGATTTCAAACTATATTACAAGGCTACAGTCATCAAAATAGTATGGTACTTACTGGCACAAAAAGACATGTAGATCAATGGAAAAGAATAGATACCCCAGGAATAGACCCATGTTTATATGCCCAACTAGTGTAGGGCAACATAGACAAGTATATACCAAGAATGTACACAGAGGTAAAACAGTCTCTTCAGTAAATGATGCTGGGAAAACCAAACAGATACATGCAAAATATGAAATTAGACCATTTTCTTACACTGTATACAAAAATAAACTCAAAACGGATTAAAATCTTCTATATAAGATCTGAAACCATAAAACTCCTAGAAGAGAACACGGACAATAAACTCTTTGACATTGGTGTTAGCAGTATCTTTTTGGATGTGTCTCCTAGGGCAAAGAAAATAAAAGCACATATAAGCAAATAAGACTACATCAAACTAGAAAGCTTTTGCACAGCGAAGTAAATCATCAACAAAAGGGAAACCTACTGAATTGGAAAATATATTTGCAAATGGTGTATCTGATAAAGGGTTAGTATGAAAAATTTATAAAGAGCCCATACAACTCAATATGAAAAAAACAATCCTATTAAAAAATGGACAGAGGACTTGAACATGAATTTCTCCAAAGAGGACATACATACAGATAACAGACACGTGTAAAGATGCTCAACATAATTAATCATCAGGGAAATGCAAATCAAAACAACAGAATGGCTATTATCAGTAAAGCAACAAACAAGTGCTGGTAAGGATGTGATGAAAAGGGATAACTAATGCACTGTTGGTGGGAATGCAGATTGGTGCAGCTGCTATGGAAAACAGTATGGACAGTCCTCAAAAAAATGAAAAATAGAACTACCATATGACCCAGCAATCCCACTTCTGGGTACTAACCCAAAGAAATTGAAAACACTAGTTTGAAATTAGTGTTCAGTGCAGCGTTATTTACAATAGCCAAGACATGAAAGCAATGTAGATGTCTACTGATAGACAAATAAAGAATGTGATACACATATATAATGGAATATTACCCATAAAAATGATGAAATATTGTCATTTGCAATAACACAGATGGACCTAGAGGGTATTATGTTAAACTAAGTGAAATAAATCAAAGACAAATATTGCATGATTTTACATATACGTGGAATCTAAAATACAAGATGTGTGAACAAAAAAAAAAAAAAAAAGGTAAAAAAAAGAAACTCAAATACAGAGAACAAACTGATAGTTGCTAGGAGGGAGGATGGTGAGGGGAAGGGGATTAGGAATAGAAACTACCAGTTATAAAATTAGTCACAGGTATGTAAAGTACAGAATAGGCAATATAGTCAATAATACTTTAATAACTATGTATATGGTGCAACCACTGTGGAAAACAGTATGGAGATTATCTAAAAAAAATTAAAAATGGTTATGTCTTTTGACCCAGCAATCTCACTTCTGGGAATATATCCAAAGGAACCCAAAACATTAATTCAAAAGAACATCAGCACCCCTATGGTTATGGTGGTGTCATTTACAATCACCAAGATATGGAAGCAGCTTAAGTGTCCACCAATAGATGAGTGGATAAAACAACTATGGGGCATTTACACAATGGAATACTACTCAGCCATGCAATAGAAAGAAATTTTGCCATTTGAGACAGCATGAATGGACCTGGAGAACATTGTGCTAAGTGAAATAAGCCAGTCAGAGAAAGACAAATACCATATGATTTCACATATATGTGGAATCTAATGAACAAACTGGACATACATAGAGAGCAGGATGATAGCTATTGGTGGGGAGGGGAGGTTAGAGGATGGAAGGATTGAGCGAAAAGGAAAAAGGACTCATGGACATGGACAATAGTGTGGTGATTGCGGATGGGGGTAGAAGGGGTTATATGGTAATGGAAAAATTACAATGAAGAATTAAAAATAAACAAATAAACAAACAATTATTTATGGTGCCAAATGGGGACTAGTTTTATCTCATGGTGATCGTGAAGTATATAAATGTCCAATCACTGCTGAACGCCTGAAACTAATATATATTGTATATTAAATAAATTAAAGATAAGTTATTCACATTAATATTTTATGTGTGTATGTATTTGGAAGGGGGATACAGTTAATAGGGTGTGGTCAGGAATTTTTTAAAAAGTCACTATTTCCAAGATTTATACATACAAGATCTTAAGCCAATCAGCCCTCATCCATGACATAGGAGGAGAAATCTAATCTGCCTCCTCTAAGGAGGGACAGTCTTCATTTCTCAGGCAAGTGCTATCTATAAATAGCATCATTTTGTGAGGCACCTACCTTGCTTGTCTGATTCGGTTTGATCCCAGGCCCTCGAACCAACAGTGGGACTTTGATATCAAACTCATACAGCTGTCTTTTGTCTATTGGCAAAGAAAACTGTCCTGAAAACAAAATGCACAAGGTAAAGGTGGGGCCAACATGGAAATGTCACACATACATTCATTCATTTAACCAACATGAAAACCAAAACAACTTTGTTCCACTGATTATTAAACACTGATTAGTGTTTAAATGGGAAGTTCAAATTTGCCTGGGTCTCACTACTACAAGGCAAATTTAGTAAATTCCTAGGGGGACTTCCCGGTCTATGATAAGACAAATTCAGGCAGAGAGAGTGACAGGGAAGTACTGAAATACAAATACACAATTTATGTATGATACTCAACCCCATCATAATTGAATGAGGTTATTCTGAAAAGTGCTAAATAAAGGGACAAAAACATTTATCCAGCTTGTCCTGAATAAACTGAATTTCAAGATAACTAAATAGTTGATGAGGGAAAGTTCTTCCAGCTAATAAATGCAGAAAGACAGAGTTATGAAGTCAACATTTAGTGATTTCTGAGGGAAAAATAGAGTTAAACATAAATGGAAGCTTTAGTCACAAAAGGTTCACTGGACAGGCTCAGACTGACACCACACGGGACATCAATCAATACCAGAATCCCTAACGTGGGACAACAAGATACCACGGGTGTCATGAAGTTATGCAACAGGAAGTACACAGCAGAATCACCAAGAAGGAACTCTTGTTGAAAATGTAAATTTCTCTTAAGACTCTAGATCTGACTATCAATCTACAGGAAAAGCTGAGTATAATGAAACAAGTAAAGCCAACATGAGACAGCAATTCTCTCATGAGCTATTCTAAAGGACAAAAGACCGGTTTTTCCAATAAATCAGTGGCAACAACAGCTTTATGAAACACAAAAACTAAACGTAGCATGTGGACTTTGTGTACATCCTGATACATAATAAACTAGTTGGATGCACAATCAAATGTTGATGTGTGGAATCAGAATTTCTGGAGTCTTTTCAGAACCTTCTGGCTAAAAAAGAAAAACATAGGGAAGGTAGGAAGAATTCAAAAGACTGGCCACATGCAACTGAAAATTGAAACTGGATAATATTTTATTAGTTTCTACTTCAAATGCTTAAAAATATTCACTACAATACATTAAATGTGGAATCCTCCTGCTCTATGCAAGCAAGCTTCACATCAATTCTACTCAAGTTTATGAAATTTATAGGTAGGAAAAGAAGAAAACATTGGTTTTTAAACTACAGAGGTCCAAGTAGAAAGGATGAAACTCAAAGACAGGACACTGACTTATACTGCAATTTAAAAAAGACAACAAAACAAGACCCACACACACACAAAATTTAAAAAACTAATTTCTTAATTTCATAAGAGCTTCCCCCCCAAGACAACCTGCTCTTGATTTTCCTATGTAAAATGTCTTACCCCTACTCTGTATGATCTATCTGCCCTTGAAATCTAGTTCAATCTCTTACCTCGTACATAAACCCTGCCTCCAAACCATCAAGGTAAGCTTACTCTGCTCCCGACTCCAAGAACACCATGTAATTTAGCATATGACACAGCAAATAATGAAATGTGGTCTCTCCATGTGGGAATGAGACAGCCCTTTTACCAAAGAGGTCCTAAGGGCAAAACCCTCCTTCTGGTTTCTAAACTGCTATAAAGAGACCAGAGCTCCTGGTCAGTGCTACTGGTTGGGTGAAAAAGGAAGGGTACCCCACACAAGGTCACAGGATACCTAACCATGCCCCTTACCTGTGTGATAGCCATTATCAGAGGTATAAAAGATGTACGTGTTGTTGAGCTCCCCATTGAACTCCAGTCTCTTGACCAATTTCTCCACAAGGTCATCAACTGAGAGTAGAGTTTGCCACCTGGATGTGAACAGAGAGTAGTAGCAACGGGACCTCAGAGACAAAGGCTCAGGGAAACCTGCAAAACCTCAAAACTATTCTCCCAGAAATGGGAGAAATTTAATCTCAGAACACTGAGTTCAGGTCAAATTTAACTGTTTCCAAATGAATGAGGCTTTTATAACCATTTAGTTTTATTACTTCTTATCACTGGTGATGGGAGTAGAGACAACAGAAAGAGTAGAGACAATAATGCAGATTAATTCAAATGGACCTGGCGACAACAGTGTTTATGATTTAAACTAGGGGTTGGCAAACTATAGACACCCGCCAAAGCTTGCCCACTGTGTGTTTTTTTGTTTGTTTTTAAATTGCTGTAAAACACAAATAATATAAAATTTACCATCTTAAAAATTTTTAGGGGCACAGGTCAGTAGTATTAAATATATTCATATAGTGAAACAGATTTCCAGAATTTTTTTCAGCTTACAAATATGAATGACCCATTAAACAACTCACTGTTTTTATATACACACGAAGTTTTATTAGAACACAACCCTGCTCGCTCATTCATGTACTGTCTATGGCTGCTTTAGCACTTCAACAGCAGAACTGAGCAGCTGCGATAAAGACCATGTGGCCTGCAAACCTGTAATATTTACTACCTGGCCTTTTACAGAAAAAGTTTGCCAATCCTTGGTCCAAACTACATACACTTTAAATAATGGATATTTTAAAAAATTGACTTAAAAGAATTTCCTGGAAATTCCAGAGAGCAAAAGTAAATATTTTGCTCTAGTCTAAACCTTTGGGTCTTACGCAAATATTGGGTGACTGATCTCTAAAAAACTAACCTTTTCTTTAGACATAGGAAACTTAAAAAAAAAATCAAATGGCTCCAGTTTCCAATGTTTAACAAGTCATAAAAATGATGTAATTAGTCCTGGGGTCCAAAAGCCATCTCACACACCCAGATGTAAAGAAATCTTTGGCTGTTTCTAAGGCAAGAGACAGCCCCCCTTCCAAAATAAATAAATAAATAAAAATCTTCCATCAACTTGTTCCTCTCTGATTCTGCCTCAAAGATAAACCATATGGTATAGTTCCTTGTTCACTGGCTGATTTGGAGGGTCCGCAAAGACCACCCAGGTTGAGAAAGTAACAGCTCTTACCTTTTTCTAAATGCATTATCTAAAAACTGTATTGAAGAATTAGTCATTGGGGTCTTGGCTTGCCTAATTAACCAGTGCTTGTTCTAAAATTTAAAAGAAAAAAAAATGTTAACACCAAATCACACAAATAAACTACTCTAGTAGATAGTAAAAGAGATCATTTTATAATTCAGTAAAGAGGTACTGGAACCTATTTAAGCAACTTCAGACTTTCTCTCCTCCCCACTTCCATCCCGTGTTTTTAAAAAAAACTTTCTGTAGATTATCACTCATTGTTCAGATTTTTCCTACCATTTTCCTAATGGCACTGGGTTCCTTTGTCAGTAGCATTAATAAGCATTAAGCAGCGATTTAGTGAAACATATTGGGAAACTACTGGCTAAAAGGATTAAATTATAACTCAGAGTCTATGCTTTGGGCCTACTACCCAACCTACAAAAGGGTATATATTAACTTTACCTTCCTCTAAGTTTTGCCTAATAAGTCAACATTTTATTATTCTCAGCTTACCCAGGCTATCGATTATCTCAAACTGTTGGGAAAATCTCATCATAGCAATTTCCTAAACTTCAAGTCCAAATCTGGAGGGAGGGTTCTTTTCATTTAATTAAAAAAGTCACAGTTTAAAAAAAAGAAAATTCCCATACACCATCAATTATCTTCTTCCTCCCTGTTCTTAAAACTCTAAGCTGCTATCTCCCAAACTGTGATCCTCAAAGTGTTCTTCAGTTAATGTTTGAGAAATGCTATATAGCATGTTGTCTTGCTGGAAATTCATGTTAGAACATGAATAACTGAGAAATCCTGTAGCAGAGTGACTTATTTAACCTAAAGTTTCTGCACTTACTTGATCATGAGAACTCCAGTCAACCTTTTTTTGGAATGCAGTTTGAGAATGGCCCTCTAGTTTAAAACTCAGCTTTAAAATTACACTTAACATGCTTACAACATTCTAGGCAATATGCTGCATGTTTCTATATACTTGAATCCATACAGTAGTTGCATGAAAACTGGAAATTAGCATCTTGCTGATTGTCAGGTCACTAAGCTAGAAGGTGGTAGTGCTCAGTCTAACTCCAAGATTCATTCTTTCTACCACCTCACAAGCAATTAAGATTTCTGGGTAACACGTATGAAGCAGTAGAGGCCTTCTGCATTTGAACCAGTGAACTGCCAACCCCCTGTGCCAAGGGAAGGATAAATGACACATAAAGCAAATATTTAGGCTGTGGCCCTTAATTACAGTATATTCCCTGCTCTGGCTCATTTCTCAACTTCCCTTCTCAATCATATTGCACTGTGTCACCCCTCTTCTTCCTGTGCCTCAGGCCTGGTGAGGGCTACCCAAAGGAGGCTGCTGCAGGCCCGCTCAGCCCCAAGGGACATGTCTCAGCCACTGCCAGGCAGAGGAGGGCCAGCACAGAGGTTTACAGTAGAGTCTGTAGTAAAGAAAGATGGTATCTCTTTAATATTCTCTCTGGACTCTCTAGCTGCTCACCGGATATATGGCAAGAACCATATCTGTATTTCTGCAGCAAGTTTATACTATCTATCCTACTAGAAATAGTTGTAATTACTTTTAAAAGATTTGGAAAGAAAACCAACTACATAGCTTAAAGGCTCTCTGACAAATACATTATACTATTTGTCAATTAGTATACAATACAAATTAACTATACTGAGCATGGCAAAATCCAAGGATTAGGGAGGCTACCGTTCCATGGATGTTGAAGTTCTTGCTCCTTGGTGCAAAAACGTTCTGGAAGGTCTTCTGGTACTGAGGTGCAGCTGTCCAAGGCGAATGAGGCGCTGGAGTGGAGATCATCATGAAGAACGGTTCAGAGTTGGACTTGTAGTTCAGGAAGTCCAAGGAGACATTAGCCTGATACATACAAAGATTTGTCATCTCCTACCCTACCCAACAGTTGCAGACTTGACAGATACATGCTCTCTGATGAACAGAAGGGACAGGGTTGTATTAGATTTTAACACATCTCAGCACACAATCTACAACATAGTCAAAACAAGCATGTTGTTGGACCATGTATTTGGCTTTTAGGCAATACTTATAATAAAAAATTGAAAAGCACACTATCCTAGTTGTTGATGATTTTGTTGTTGATGATCCTAGTTGTTGAAGATGTTGATGATTTTACATGATCAAAAAAGTGTTATGCCTCCCACTGGAAAGAAACAGTAATTTGGCCATTTTGGTATTAACTTACATTAATGCAGCTTAGAGTGTATACATTTGATGACTTATAGAACATAAAAATAGAGTCAATCTAATTTTCAACAGTGGGAAAGGTGGATTAAATTACCTTAATCTCACAAAAATATGTAGAGAGCAGATATCAAGAGTTATGGCCAAATAAACCACACTAGGGCTTTAATTGCTGTGGACTTACATTTATCATTGGCTTACTTGGAGATGAGTATGAAAATGAAAGCATCCCACATACATGTTATGTATTTAATTGTTCTAGTTGATTTACAGCTTCATTTATTCCCAACACTAAACTCAAGTGGAACTGACTGCATCGATCTGCTGTCACCACCCTGCCCACCAGTTTGTTCCAGCCTTGTGAGAAACCTGTGGCACTGCAACATGCCAGGCGCGCTCTGCCTGAGGGCCCGGACTCTGCAGTCTTCTGCCTGTGGCCTCTCTCCACTGACCTGGACAGCTCACACTCACCTACTTCAGGATTGTGCTTGAATGTTATCTAAGTAACCCCATACCCTGCCTCGTTTCTCTAACTGATCATCATCTGTCAAGGTAATAAATAAATGTGGGTACACACACACACGCGCGTGTAAATAAAATCAGCCACTGAAACGCTACCTTCCATAGAATCAAGGACTGTGCCTCATTTAGGGCCAAATGCCCACTATAATGAGCGCTGAAACATGTGATGAATGAATGCACTAGGGAGGGCTGTCATTAGAAACACCTCAGACAGGAAAGGAAAGTCCCAAATTCATCCCATTCTGGTATTTTTTATATATAAACACTCAATACCTGAAGAACTCCCAGACCCCCATCACTCCCACCCTCATGATGAAGCTGCCATCTTGTCGCTTGTGAGTAAAACTGGGGTCCTGGGGTCAAAAGCAGAAGCCTTTACAAAGAAAAACCTCTTCAAGCAATCTCTATAGTCGGAGGTTAGCCTTTGAAAAAGGGATTTGTTGCTGGAATTTCAAGAACATCATCTGAGCCTGGCTTATATACAAAGAAAAATACTCTTGAAGAATTTTTAATCAGTTGGAAATATTCTTCGGCAGTCAGATTGAGTTATTATTCATTCACATTACCCAACATGAACAAATACAACTAAAGGTTTTCTAGGCAAAGTCTTTCATCAAATGCGAGCCAAATCAGCAAGGACAGAGTTTTAGTAACTCACCAAAACATCTGTCAGGTAGTCCACACTGTAGTTTTCACCATGCTTTCGTGCCTTCCCATTGATAGAGAGGGTATAATTATAGTATTTGGAATTCTTTTCCTATAAAAGAGAGGAAAATATAATTTATTATGACATCAGCAAACAAAATGAAAGTCAAAAACCATGCTAGGCTAACCTATACTCTGTTTAAATAGTGATAAGACATAAAAAAGGTAATTACTCAAGTTATATTGAATTTTTTGATTAGGGTTTTAATTATCTACTAGCATAGTTTCAGTATGTCCTACTTTAAAAACACACGAACAAAAAAATACAGGAGTAGATCAGGTAGAACAGAAAATATGTTGCTAAACATCCACAAAGGAATTACTCACAAATCAAAAGACTTTCCTTCAAGAAGATAAAATAGTCAATCATAAAAGCAAACCAAGCTATGTCAACATCAGAGCCTAATCATAAAGCAAACATATTTTGCATCTGTAGGACTATGTATAATTGCCACAAAGTTCAATAATCACTTACCAAGGCATACCAGTAACTCCATCCCAGAGGAACGTGTTCTAATCCACCGGCATCTGGGGCTCCATACTGAAAAGCAAGACAAGTAGGGCATTAGAAGTCCTTAGACATGACGAGGCCACAAAAAACTTATAGAATCTTGCAGATCAGTCTCTTAAATATGGTAGGTGCTAGTTTTTCCCAAACATACAAACCAGCAAAAAATAAAATTGCTATAATCCTAGAAGCTTCTGAAGCAGGAGTTGGCAAACTATGGGCCAAATCTAGTCTGCCAACTGTTTTGTATGGCCAGCAAGCTAAGAATTTTTTTCCTGATTAAAAAATATAAAGACCAAACAGCCCTGCCTGGTGTGGCTCAGTGGATTGAGTGCTGGCCTGCAAACCAGAGGGTCGCCAGTTCGATTCCCAGTCAGGGCACATGCCTGGGTTGTGGGCCAGGTGCCCAGTAAGGGATGTGTCAGAGGCAACCACACATTGATGTTTCTCTCCCTCTTTCTCCTTCCCTTCCCCTTTCTCCAAAAATAAATAAAATCTTAAAAAAAAAAAAAAATACAAAGACCGATCAAAAGAGGACTATTTTGTGCCATGTGACAGGTACATGAAATTGAAATTTCAGTGATAATAAAGTTTTACTGGAACACAGCCACACTCATTAGTTTGTATCATGTCTACGGCTACTTTCATGCTATAATGGTAGAGTTGAATACTCACAACAGAGACATATGGCTTACGAAGCCTAAACTATTTATGTCTAGCCCTTTACAGAAAAAGACCACATGGCTTAGGCCACAGGGCTCATTTGCTGAGCTACTGATGGCTTAGACTAAAGAGTCTGACTGATCTTGTGATTAACAAGAGTGACAATAATCCAACTATGAGCTACCAGCGTATGTCAGTTGTCCTGCTGATGAAATCTACTTTTGGAACTCAATTTTTCTGATGAGACGAGTCAGTAAAGAGACCACGGAATCATCCCATTCTATTTCAAGGTTTAATACTGCCCATTTAAGGCAGAATTTAATCCCTCAGAACTAAATCTTTGTTATTTAAAAAAATTTCTCCTAATTTTATATATATATTAGATGATCTTTAATGTGAAAAATAGTACAAGTTCTCTTTATGACCCATACATAGCCTTAACCTAATAACATAGTACTTGCACTTATTTCTCATGATTCTTTTCAAATTGAGTCATCTTCCTTCAAACCCACAAGGTTGCAAATTCCCCTAATTATCTGGGAAGGGGGAGAAGTAAAAGAAATTTCAGATCAGATATTAAGATCTTTAGCAAACACAGATAACATATGTAAGAAAATGTACATCTCCTCTTTGTCCTGAACTCCCAATTTTACTGTAAGAGGTAACCCCAAACACTCTCAAAATACACTATTTCCTTTAAGCTTGAACTCTTACTAAAAGCTAATGCCAGTGTGGTGGATGTAGGGCCATGAAATCCAGCTTTAGCAGCTCACAATGAGGTATCTCTCCGTCCAGGCCCAAATGGCCGGCACATCAATCACTCAGCCATGTGCTTTAGTGACCTGACTGTCCCTGGCTCTGGGTGCTTTTTCTTTATCACTGATCTGTCCACATTTTGTTCCCACTTTTCAGGTTAGAAAATGGATTAAGTATAAATTGTTGTAATTCAGGAAAGATACTAAGAGAAAAATATTCTTCATTCTGATCCTAATAAAGGGGAAATGGAAACAAAGATATCATGACAGCCACATGACAGGTAGAACTGAGTTAAAAGGGAAGACGTGTCACACAGCAGCAGTCCTAGGATAATTTTTCAGTAAATGCTCCTGAGACTATTTAAAAGAAAAAAACTACGATACCCAAATGATGTAAATATGTTCATGTAAGTTCTTATTTATGGACTAGGCAAAAACAGTATTTGCCAAAAATCCCTTAACATGACTTGAATGGATATATACCAAAAAACAATTAACATGAATTATATTAATTCACATTTAAAAAGCTGTTCTTTTTAAAAAGAGAATAATGAGACCATTCAACATACCTCATTTAAGTATTTCCCTGCAAAAAAGGTTTGATAACCACACATTGATCTGAGAATTGCTGGGAAAGTATTTGGTTCTTCGATCTTCTGCCAAGACTTACTACTGCAGTTTCCTTCTAAAGTGTTGTTAACAACGTGATGATTATGTGGATACTTCCCTGTCAGGATACTGGCACGGCTCGGGCAGCAAAGAGCACTTGGCACATACTATCAAGGAAACAGAAGCAAAAAGGACAAAGTAACACAAGAAAGATGGATTTCTCATCATTTCTAAAGAGAATAAAGAAAGTAACTCAATACTCTTAACTTCAAATTTCTAGTTTCCCATGGAATAATTTCTTCATACGTGACACACTTTCGAGCTGCTTTAACACAGTAGAGATAGTAAAGCAGACAAAACAAACCAAGAGAGCAGATTTGCTTTCAGCTGTTTTTTTCCTACAGGATAACATGTTATTCTAACCTCACATCAAAGAAATATGTACATACAAACAGCACAGCACGGTGGGAGCTAGGACTTAACCGAAGATAAAGACTACTACTTGATTTTAACGTAGCTGAGTAGAGCCTCATTTTTAGGCTGATTTGTAGTTTTATATATTTCCTGTACCACTTTACACATGGAAGGCAGATTTTTTTCCTACTTTAATTATGTTTCTATTAGTTATTGTCACCAATAGACTTACCCCTTCCTACCCAATATTTGTGTAACTTTTAATACATGTCACCAAGCCATTTTTTAGAAGGGTAATACAATACTAGCTTATACTTGCACACCAGCAGGGAAGGTTCATTAGGGCATATCTTTGCATGCTATTGCTTTTAAATACTTACTATTTGGATTTTCATATTGGATTTGACATTTTAAAATACTGGTGATGATGAACATTCTCCACATGCACACTGACCAATTGTGTTATGTGAATATTTATTATGTGCTTTGCACATTTTTTCCTCCTGGGCTGTTGTTGGCCTCTTGTTACATAAAATTTGAGTTAAGGAAGGAGTCAGTCATGTTACAAATACTTCTCATTTTTAATGTTTGCTATTTAATTTTGTTAGATGTTTGACTTTTGTTATTTTTACATTGGCAACTCTTTTTTAATTCTTTCCCTTTTTTGTTTCCTGACCTATTTTTTGGCCAATACCACATTGTTTGCCATATCTTCACATTACATTTTAGTACCCTATAGAACAATTTCTTCCTTAAAAAAAAAATTACCCTAATTTTTCTAACCTACTTACTATTCCAGATAACTTTGAAATTACTTAATTCAGCATTAAAAAAAAAAAAAACTTACTGGGATTCTGGTCAGAATGAATATTTTATAATCCGGTGTCTTCCCACAGAAAGTAATGTGCATGTCTTCATATTAAGTATTTTTATTATATTACTCACAAAGTTCTATAATTTTATATAGGTCTTGAATAACCATTACTAGCCACCACCAGCAATTCCTAGGGTCTGTATTTTCCTGCTATGTGAATGGGATCTTTTCTCCCCCCCACCCCCACCCCTGCAACCCCGTATTTCTCTATCTGGTTATAGGGAAGGAAGTTTTTTTAAAAAGTTTTTCATTTCTACTTCACTAAATTCTATTAAAAAGTTTTCCAACAATTTTCCTGCTTTCTAGGTAGAAAATCCAAACAAGTGGAAATAATAATTTTGTCTTTTCCCAACAGTTTTACCTTTTAATTCCATAAGACTTATGCCAATGAGAGTTCAGAATAACATTAAGAGGTATTATGCCTTTGTCTCATTCCTAATAGCAGTGACCAAGTCTTTCACCTTAACTAGGTGTGCTATTTGATTGAAGTATTCATCATAAGGAAGTGTTCCTCCAAAAGTTTAATAAATTACCAGGAAAAGATGTTAACATTTCAGATGATTTTCAAGCATCTATTGAGATGAACATATAATTATCCTTCTTTCAACTACTGATTCCATGTTGGTGGACAATATAATAACCACCATTATGTCATACAGTCAGCTCTCTGTATCTGTGGGTTCCACCACAGATTCAACCAACTGCAAACTGAAAATATTTGGAGAAGAAAAATTAAGTTGTTGCTCACGTAAACTGTGTAGTTACATCTATGATGTGGCTGCATTTGTACTGAACATGTACAGACCTTTTTTCTTGTCATTCCTTAAACAATACAGTGTAACAACTATTTACATAGTCTTTACATTATATTAGGTATTATAATAAATGTGGAGATGATTTAAAGTATACAGGAATATATACACAGGTTACATGTAAATATTATACCATCTCATTAAAGGGACATGAGCACCCATGGCTTTGGTATCTGAGGGGGGTGAGGGGTGGTCCTAGAACCAATCCCTCAACAGATACCAAGGGATGACTGTACTTACTATAAGCCAGGCTTGTTTTGCACGTATCAATTCACTTAACCTCACAAAAACTCTGAGGTAGGTTTTAGTATCCCCACTTACAAATGTGGAAAACAAAGGCCAGAAAGGTTAATAACTTGCCCAAGGTCACACAACTAGAAAAGAGGCAGAGAGCATTCAAAACCAGGCAATCTGGTTCCAGAGTCAGTATCTGAAGCACAGCACTATGCTGCTGTTCAATGGATTTCTTGGTATTAAGCAAGGCTATCACTTGCTTGTGTTCGTGTGTACATGGTACTTTAATTTGTTAGTATTTTGAGTCTTTGCACCTATGTTTAAATACATATGTTTATATTTTACACACACACACACACACACACACACACACACACACTTGTTGGTTCTGTTTTGTTGCTATTATCTTTGTCAGGTTTGGCTCTTGGGGTTAACTGGGTTTTGTCAAATGGCCTGCAAGCTTTTACCATGAACAGTTTACGTAGCATAAATGTTAGGTGTTTCTTACAATCCATTTTCAAACTGCAAACAGTCTGGTTTGAAATAAAATTCTCCGAGTTGTAGATCAGACTGGCTCGGAAATGCCTGCAGTTAATCTTCAACTGGTGAGATATAATATTTCAATTAACTGACTTTATATCACATTAAATAAAGTCCTTCCTTTAGAGCAGGCATTTAACTAGGAACAAAAGCCACCCAGACTAACCAAAAGACAATGTTTCTTCTTAGAACATAAACACAATTAAAGTCTAACAAAGTTAAATTAGCTTCAAAACTTACAGCGCTGGAGAAAGTCATCCCCATCTCTCCGATGAGAGCCTTTGTTTTCTTTAGTGGTGTCTGTAAAGTAAATAATTATCTGTTAAACTATTTCTTCCAATAAACTACAAAACACAAACCAAAATTCATGGGTTTTGCACCTTAACTTGACCTTTTATTCCCAATCAGCCCCATCTAATACCAAGGAACAGCCAAGAGAGTGATTCTGGAGATGAAACAAACAGGTTTAGGTAGTCAGTTCTTTCCCTGCAGAAGTTCAGTGTTTCATAAAGCTTGTAGGAAGGGAAAGTTCACAGCTGATGGCTTTATTTTAGCAAGGCTGATTTGAATGTAATGAAATTCTGTGCCGTTGTCTCATTTCTCACCAGCCCCCTTATGAGATAGGGCAGAACTATCTCCATTAATTCATCTTTAGAAGCAGGCTGTGGGAAATCATACAAAAGGAGCCTTCCATCTTTTAAAACAGTTATAACACTTAAGTTCTGAAAGCCAACGAGACACTGAGGCCCAGGGACTAACTCAAATATCAGACATTCAGTTGGTGGAGCCCAGATGCACACTTTTGACTATAAACTCACGGTCCTCTGCACTAGACAAATCACCACCTAAGGTAAGGACTTGAACCCAGTGGCAAACAGGTATACACAGAACCCTGTCAAGTAAAAGACTAGTCAGAAATTACTTTGTTTATATTCTTGCTTCTTATCTTTTGTTTAAAATCTAAGACCCTGAATGGGGGGAAAATGGTGACACCTGTAATTGAACAACAATAAAATTTTTTTAATTACTCTTAAAAAAATACAAAATTAAATCTTAGATCCTGGCAAGTATAGAGAATAATTACAATCAAATCCTTGAGTGAGGAAAAAAGTGTTAAGACGGTCATTTAAATACAAATAAAAAGGTACATAAATCTGAATAATCTTTACTCAGCAAGAAAAACCATTGAAAAGGCTCATTTTAGTTGTATTATGAGAGTCAGTAAGCCCACACTGAATGCAGCTTTAAGTGTATTTTGTTGTTTAATAGTTCCTTAAAGATAATCCAAATACTGAACTGTGTTAACAAGAGCCTCATTTTCAATATTGTATAAATGATTGTCCCCATTGTTTACACAGATAGTAGAAAACCTAAGGAAACCATAAGCTCAAATGAATGAGCATTCTAACTTAAAGAGGAGCTTTGATAATTTCACGAGTAGATGCATAACAGGTCCCCAGGAAATGCTAGAGATACAGGAGGTCTTTGGTAAGCTTCAAAGGCAATGTCACCCTCCATAATCTCCCCTAAAATGTCACTGGGTGCTACCCTCAGGTACAAACACTTGGCTGAAAAAACATTAGATGATGGAGAATCTGAGTTTCAGCGAGGATATAGGGAGGGGAAATGAGAATGCAAAGTGTCAGTGAGGAAAAGGAACACGTGAATTGATTAAATGGGGCTTACTCATCTAATTGGTACAGATGCAAAGTTACAGAGGAATGTCTGATTTACAGTTAAGACTATACTATATGATTATACAATATTTGTTAAACACTTAATTTGTGTCAGGCGCTGGTCTTGGCAGTGGTGGACAAAAGGCAAAAGGTCTCTCCTCTGATGATCCTTGTACTCTTGGGGACTTAACCAACCAACGGGTAAATAAACAATCAGTTTAGGCAGTGAAAAATGCTATGAAGAGAATAAATGAGGATGATGTGCTTACAGCTGGTGGGAGGAAAGGTGGAAAATATTCAGATGGTAGGTCAAAAGTGGCCTCTTTCAGGAGCTAACCAGTCCTGAGAGTCACATGATGAGGAGTCAGCCATGCAAAGGTCCAGGATAAGATGCTCCCAGGAGGAGTGAATAGCAAGTAAAAAGGCTGCCAGACAAGGAAAGAGGCACATGTGAGGGACAGAAAGGCCAGCGTGTCAGAAGCAGTGCAGTAAGTAAAGGGGAGAATGGGATAAAACAAGGCCAGAGAGTGAGGCAGAGGCCAGAGGATGATGCAGGGCTGCATCACACAGGATTCACGGGAATCGACAGTGTAGAGTATAAGAGATTTATATTAATAACCATAATCATTAGACTACAAATGGTAGTACAAGTGATAAGTATAAAATTTGTGCTTAATCAAACAACTCCCAATCAAGAGACGACAATGCCCTGAAAATGTGTGTGTGTGTGTGTGTGTCGATGCTAACATCAATCCTTAAGATGTAGGCAAAGCTGGTGACTGGTGAGGTTAAGGCCATAGAACATTCTTCATGAAGCAGCCAATCTTATACTTACAAAGCAAAATCCCTTCCATAAAAATCCTGAGGCGTCATTTACTTTCCTAGCTCCCATGTATACCAGGGCTCTGAAATAGTTTTGACAATTCTGATAATTCTATAGCTAATCTTTCCTTTTTCAATGGAAAATCACTTTGCTTTAAGCGAAACAAAGGCGTGATATATTTATTCCTCCCCTACATTTCGTTATAGCTTCTTCCGTCATTTCCTTGAAATTTTCCTTGAAATTGGTCACTTTTTCTGCAGTGAATGATTTTAAAAAGAGCAACATGTGAAGAATAGTATGTCCATTACACCATAATCACATTTAAATAAAATCAAGAGATAAATAGACAGGAACAGTGCCCTCGGAAAACAACAACAACAAAAAAAAGTCTCACAGGTGATACCTGCAACAAATACAGTGAATGCGAAAGACAATGCTACCACATAAAAAACTATTACAGCCCTGGCTGGTGTGGCTCAGTGGACTGAGTGCCAGCCTGCAAACCAAAAGGTTGCAAGTCTGATTCCCAGTCAGGACACATGCCTAGGTTGCAGGCCAGGTCTCTGGATGGGGATGTGTGAGAGGCAACAGATCATGCTTCTCTCACACATTGATGTTTCTCTCCCTCTCTTTCTTCCCCCTTCCCCTCTCTTTAAATAAATAAGTAAAATCTTAAAAAAGAAAAAGAATATTTCAAAGATGAAAGATTCCACATTAAACCACAATCCTTTGTCCTGATTTAGTCTCGGGGATTGACTACTATTTGCTAACTATGGTGGCAATTCATAATCTTTTGGGAGGTCAAAGACCTCCCTCTCTCCACAAAAATGAAGATAATATACAGAAAGTATTACATATAAATTAAGGAATTCCAGGACCACACCGGTGCTCTTGAATGTCATCTGAAGAATCTCTGATCTATGGTATAAGTAACTCTGATGGTGTGGGTATGTGGAATGACATCTTTAAGTCAGTATTATCACTGTATTTTCAAACAGGAGAAAAAGCATGGGGCTCTGAGATCATGAGACACCAGGCTTGGTCTCTCATTAGCAATATGAACCTTGTTGAAGTTACTTAATCCCCTCTAAGTTTTACTTCCCTCTTATTTAAGGACAACACCTACAGCAGAGAACTCCTGTCACGACTGAAGCACAAGTATAAAACATCTCATACTCTAGTTCCAAGGTGAGTCTCAAATGCTGTTATTGTCTTAGCTCTTCCCCTTCAAGTCCTATTTGACAACTAGTCATAAAATATTCTGGAAAAGCCTACAAAAGCAGCAAAAATTCTCCAGAGTTGGAGCATTAAATTCAACTTGTTCCCGCCTCTCAATTTTGGCTTTTCTCTCCAGCATAAACTGACACCTATAAAAAAGAATCTGCTATGGTTTAAAGAAGCAAATATGACTAACATGTTATGGAGAGGAAACCTCAAATATGTATACACAGACCACATCTGTGGTGTACAAAAGTTAAACTGAATGCTGAACAGCACACCTTATATTTAAGTGATGAATTTTGTTTTCAACAGAGATGTCAAAGCTTTAACTTTTAATTATGCTTTAATCACTAAACTAGTACTAATTTTGGATGGAGGTGGCTTCCTTTTTCTGGATAAACTATTTTTCAAGAACACAAAAGATATTTTATTTTATTTTCTTAAAAAAACAAGGAATTTTGTGAGGAGTGGAAGTGTAGCTGTTGGAATGGTGGGAGAAAACAAAGTAAAATCCAGGAGAGCAATTAAGTCAAGACTCTTCAATGTCAATGTGGCTGAGTAGAAATTAAAAGGCAATGAGGCATACGTGGCAGTAAGTGTGGAGTCAAAATGCAAGCATCTTAAACGTCAGCTAGAAAAGATTCTCATACTCTCCAACCCAGCCCTGAGTAAGAAATATTTTAATTCACAACCAAGCTATAACTGTATATGGCTATGCTTACTTTTTCTGCCTGTACCACACAGATATTTTCTACTCTATTTCACAGGAAAGTGAAAATGCTGGAAGTTACTAAACTGATTTCACGACTCACTTATGGGATGAAATCAGCAGAATGACGGACACTGAGCTAGGGTGTTACCACACAGTAAAAGTTAGGAACCTCCTGCCTGACAAGTTTTCATAATCTCAGCATTTTGCTGAAAGCAATGAGAACTGAAAGGAAGCACACAATAAAGCACTTGTTCTTCAAAAGAGGAATACCTTACCCAGGATCAGAGCACTAGTCAGGATTTTGACCTGACTGCCTCAACTCTGTGCTCTGGGCAAGCCACTTTTTGGGCTTGCATGAGTAGGGATTTGGGTGGATACTCCTGAGGGTCATAAACTAAGATAAAGAAGCAAAATTAACTCTGAGAAAAAATGAAGTCTCAAGACAACACCCATTTGATATAACATAGAACACTATCAGTAGTGCAGCCATCAGCCAGGTGTTCAATTAAGGCTAATTGGATTTTCTTGATTTCTTGTGAGGCAAAGCACACCCTGAATAGTTCGACAACCTACCTACCCGATTAGTTCATTTCAGCACTTATTTTATAAATATCGGGCACAGACACTGTACCCAGAGACAACGGCTGAGGTTGCAGGACTCATCCTCCAATTCAAAAGATAATCAAGACTTGCACATTCTTAGCCAGCACCTGCTCCTCATTGGTTCAGCCTATCCCTAACTGGCGTCCACAAGTGTATCGTGAGACGCTAACGCAAACTCCGCAGCGATAAGGTCCAGAGGAGAAGCTCTGTGTAGCGCGTGTATGTGACAACCTAGAAGAGGCGCTGGAGCGGGAAGAGGAAATAAAAAGGTCTGAGGCCCCTCAGACCTGCGTAAAGGCCCTGGCGCGTCAAAAGCAAACCTACCCAGAGTCAAGGCAACCAGTTCAGTTCAGGGAGTCGGGGTGAGAATGATAAGAGGGCAAGAAACCAGGGAGTCAGCCGAAAGATAGAGGGGCGGGGCAGAAATAAAGACAAGAGTTACCATGCCGCCGAGCACTTCGTCCTGGTCGTCGGTGAGAAGCAGCACCACGTTGGGCCTCCGAAAGCCCGCCGCCACCCGGGAGACCCCCAGGGAGCAGCCCAGCAGAAGCAGCAGTAGCGCTAGGCTGCAGGACGGCAGGTGATGCCGGGGCCCACCTGGGGCCAGAGCCAGAAGCCGCATGCCGGACAGGGCTCCGGACGGGCGGGGACCCCAGGACGGTGTGTCGGGACGCGCAGGTGGCTGAAGGGCGAGAGGCCGACGACCCGCAGGAAAAGGTTCTACTTGGAAGGCCAGGGGCTGGGGTCAGGCGTTTTCTCCCCAGGCGCTATCACGTGAACCAGGCGGGGGCGGAGCGCGCTGTGCGGTCACGTGGGCGGTCGCAGCGGGGTGGGGCTTCGGGGCGAAAGGGAGGGCCGGGTAGAGCCGCAGGGAGGGAACCCGGAAGTGGGCCGGAGCTGGGGGGGAATCTGGCCGAGCGAGAGGCCCTCTCACTTCCTTCAGTGTCAGTCTCGGGGTGGGTTCTATTAGGACCCACCTCAGAGTACTTGGTGCAAAAATTAAAACGGAGTGAAGATAAAATGGAAAGACGGGGATCAGCCAACAGTAAGCGATTAAGAGAAAGGACTATACGCATAGTAAGATCAGCTGGTATGCAAAGTCGGCTTTACCACGTTTAATCCCCAAAGCCAACGAACACTAATTGAGGTCACTTTTATTTAATCGGTTTTAATTTTCTTTGCAACTCAGCTCTTAAATTTTGGAGCTGGATTCCACGTCAGCCCTCTTAACTCCAAGCTTGGTTATGTTATTCCTCAGCTGTTAATAGTGGCTTAAATAAACCAAGAATTTGAGTATCCTCGTAGCCTAATATTCCTTGGTGAATCTTTATTTACCTTAATATTTCTTGGTGAATTTTTGAAAGCCCTCTTAGAAGATCTTGGTGGATGTGCACTTTGAACAACAAAAAAAACAATTCTGAAACTTCATGGTCACCCAACCACACCAAGTACTCTTTAGGGGAAAACTTTCATGAAACTAGGGCTCCAAAAATTAATGTGGTGGCTTTAGACCAGCTCTACCATGCCCCTTTGCTGAAGTCTATGAAAACAGAAACGTCCCTGGCAAGATGAGCTATCAAGCCTTATTCCCAATTCAGAATAATATGTTGCACCTTCTGACTCCTAACAAAGTGTATTTTCTCCAAGCTGGATCATCCAAAACAAAAAAGTCTTTTAAAACTTGTGAAAGCATTATACCATAAGGTAAAAATAATTTTGGAAGTACTTTCAAAATGTCATATATACAACTATAAGTCTTAGGCAAAAGAAGTGTTGCACCAGTTTTCTACCTGGTGGCACATTCTGAACCAGCCAGCCAGAGACAGGATCCCATGTAGAACCAGGTTGAGTTGGGAGGACAGAGATGAAGTTTAGGGAGGCTGAGGCTGCTAGAAGTTGTGCAGCAAAGTTCAAAAGAGGAAGAAGCTATCTAGATAAAAAACTCCATTAACCTGCATAGATATCCTTTTGAGACTTCCTTGAACACCTGTGTGTGTGTGTGATGAAGGTACAATAAGATAAGACAATGATTGACAAAGAATAATTCTCAGAGGAGGTGGAGATGTTTGAGAACCCACCAGAAGGGAAAGTCTTCCTTAGTCACAGGCAGCATTCAGTTGAGAACCAGGAAAGGTTATACTTTAGTAGTAGGTCTAAACTATCCTAAGTGAAAAGTACTGTGCACCTATGATAACAAAGTTTAAATACAATCTCAAGATATCAAGATGATCTGCAAGAATCATAACTTGCCTGCCAAAACAAAATCCCCAGTCTTTAAGGGAAGACTACAAAATCTAAATACTCAATAATGTGAAATTCAGTGTCCTGCATCCAAAAGAAAAATAACTACACAGGCCCCCAAACAGGAGAATATGACCAATAACCAGGAGAAAAAAAAAACAGTCAATAGGAACAGACAATAAATGACAGAGATGAAGGAATTAACAAATCAAGGTGTGAAGACATCTGCTATAGTCATTATATAGTTTAAACAGATCAAGACGGTCTGGGCATCCTACAGAACATCATATCCATCCATCACATTGATGACATCATGCTGATGAGGCAGGATGAACAAGAGGCATGCTGGAATCTTCAGCAAGACACATGCTTTGGAGGGTGGGAGGTGGACCTAATGAAATTTCAGGGACTTAGTACTTCAGTAAAAGATTTTAGGGCTCCAAGATATGCTAGGACATTGCCTCCAGGGTAAAAACAAATCATCATATCTTGCATTTCTTACTACAAAGAAGGAAGCAGTGTTTGGTAGACTTTTTGCCTTCTGTATGCAACCTATCCTAACTACAATACTGCCTCAGCCCATAGAGAGTAGCACCCCCTTTTCTGCAGTTTTACTTTCTGCAGTTTCAGTTACCCACAGTGAACCATGGTCAGAAAATATTAAGTGGAGAGTTTCATTTAATGGAGAAATAAACAATTCATATGTTTTAAATTGCGCACCATTCTGAGTAGCTTGATGAAATCTCACACTATACTCCCTTTGCTCCATAGGGGATGTGCATCCCTTTACCTAGCATACCTGCCAGTAAGTCAGTTAGTAGCTATCTTGGTTATCAGTTCTACTGTTGAGGTTTCACAGTGCTTGTGTTCAAGTAACCCTAATTTTACCTAATAATGGTTTCAAAGCAAAGTAGTGGTGCTGGCATTTTGGATATGCCAGAGAGAAGCCATAAAGTGTTTCCTTTAAGTGAAAAGGTAAATATTTATACGAAAAACCATATAGATAGGGTTCAGTACTATCCCCAGCTTCAGACATCCACTGGAGGTCTTTGAACACATCCTGCCCCCGTAACGGGGGACTACGGGACTGAGTGTCTTGAAAGGCTGCTAGCTTTGAGTGGTGCCTGTAGAGAAAAAGTGCTCAGTAGCAGGCAGGGCTAGCTACATAATGTGTGGGTTCCAGTGTGAAATAAAAATATGGGGACCTGTGTTTAAAAAAAGCAGGAAAAAGTGCTAAGGAAGGTACTAAAACATAGACTTTTCTTTTTAAAATATTACTTACAAAATGCATGTTACAATGATACATGAGTAACACCATAATCTTGCAAAATGCAAAAAATAGTTTTGGTGTTATAATTTACATAATACAATAAATAATGATACCTTACTAATGTGCTATCTTGATTGATTGTATAATTTTTTGGCTTACTTTCCTGCAAAGTTACTTCTGAGGCCATCAAAATATATACTTTCAGCAACTTCGTATTTTCTAACAATTTTTATTACTTGATTTTAGAGAGAGCAAGAGAAGGGTGTGGGGGAGAGAGAGAAAAAAATATCGGTATGTTGTTCTACTCACTTATGCATTCATTGGCAGGGCTTGAACCCATAACCTTGGCGTATCCGGACAACACTCTACCTGGCCAGGGCTTACAACTTCATTTTTAACTAATATAATTGGAAGTAGTGTCATTTGCTCTTGGCAAATACATGATTGTCAATCTTTTTTTTTTTTTTTTTAGCCCTCACCAGAGAATATGCTTATTGATTTTAGAGAGAGGAAGGGGCAGGGGGGAGAGAGGGGAAGAGAGAGAGAGAGAAACATCGATGTGAAAGAGAAACATCCATTGGTTGCCTCCCACCTGGGATGGAACCTGCAACCATCAGGGTTTATGCCCTGATGGGGATGGAACCTACAACCATTTGGTGCACAGAGCAGCACTCCAACTGACTGAGCCTCGTGGCCAGGGCTCAAAGTACCTGTTTATGTAGTTTATCACTGCATCTTCAATTGCAAGGAAAATTAATTTTAAATTGTTTTCATCATTAACAATTGGTTAATCTGGAGCTTCATATGTTCTTTTCCATCAAATATGACAATCTTTATATCTATAAGCTTGTGGATATTTGATTTGCCATGTTGCATAAGGTTGCAAACTCTGAAGAATTCTAGTAATTCTCTGATATGCCTTGTTAGTGTCCATATGTGTGCTTTTGGGGGGAGTAATAATTTACTGATAAAGTGCACTGTCTGAAAGCTGGCACTTCCTGTCCCAGCTCTCAAAAATTTGTGCAAATGCCACAAAAAGGGGATTTGGGAACAGACAGGCAAGCTAGACCCCCGCGGAGGTCGCAGCAATGGCATTGCATAGAGTCTCTTTTCTTTCTACCACTGTTGCTAACTGCTGCTTCTCCACTGCTCTCCACTGTTGCTGGGCTCTGGCCTTTGCCTTGGCGTTCCAAAGCTCCCTGGACTGCCCTGAGGCATGTGCATGTGACAGTCCTTTGATGTCTGGCTGCTGCCTGCTGTCTTGCCTGACCTGGCTTATCTCCTCTGCTTATGCTATGTTCCTTGCCGTTGGACTTAAGTTTGAGAATACAAGATCAAAGATAAAATTGTTAATAATTTTCAGGTGGTGACAACAAAACATTAAGCCAAATGTGGAGACCTTCTGAGAGTAACTCTTTGTGCAACTGCAGGGGTCACATCTTGAAATCTGTCCTGGTGGCAAGTCCAACCTGTGACACAGTAACTCTTCTGAATGGGCCACACACTCTGTAAGACCCTATGGTATTCTGGGTGTCAGTGGAGGGAAAAGATACAGTGTGGAATAAGTCCCAATAGGGAAATCACAATACAGGTTTTGGAGCAGGGTCATGCCATCCAGAACAGGAATTACACATCTTTTGGAAACACAGCTCCTAGTGTACTGGGCCCTCATAACAGATGAACTCTTGAGTGTGAGGCACCAAACGATCATGCTTCCTGAACTATCCATCATGAGTTGGGTCCTCTTGGATCCAGCAAGTTATAAAGTTGGTCAGAATCAGCAGTAAACTTCCATAAGGTGAAATGGTACATCCAAAACCAAGCATGAGCAAGACCAGAGGGCACAAACAAGTGCATGAGGAAGTAGCCCAGACTCTTGTATCACTCAACATGGTTACCCCAATACCCCTTGCTCAGCTCACACCTAGGGTACTGCATGGCCAGCTGAAGGAGGAGGAGAAAGTCTGAGCTTGGTTTATGGTTAGAACAACTTGGTATACGGGTGCAAGGTGGAAATAGATGGTGGTTGCATGACAGCCTTACTCAGGATTGGCCTTAATACCAGTGGTGAGCGAAAAGCGCTCTAATTGTTAGAGCTTTGGCTGGTGCATATGAGTATCCAGTTTGTATGGAAGAATATGGTCTGAAGTTAGAATATATACATGGATTCATTGGCAGTAGTGAATGGCCTTGAATGACTGGTGATGAGCCAGGCAGGAAAATTACTAGAAGATTGGAAATAGGGAGGTCTGGGGTAGAGGTATGGGA